AGGGCGTGTACCTGGGTTTCAGGTTCAATCCCTGGCCCTATTTGGGGTCATTCAGAAGGCAACCAACTGATGCGTTTCTTTCACATCAATGTTTCTCTCTCTCTCTCTCTCTCCTTCCCTCCCTCTCTCTCTCCTTCTCCCTCCTTCTCTTCTACTCTCTCTAAAAATCAATGAAAAAATATCCTTGGGTGAAGATGAGCAACAAAAGAAATAAAATAATATATTTTCTTGAGCCCAGTATTTATTAATAAGATATTTTATATCTTTTGTGCAAAGTTTTCAAAATCCATTGTGTATTTTACACCTACAGCACATCTCAGTTCTTACTAGCCATATTTCATGTGTTTGACAGACACGTGGCTAGCTGCTACTGTATCGGACACTGTACTCCATAGTTTCATAGCATGGACTCCGGTGTCAGGTGACCTGGGTTTGAGTCCTGCCATTCCAATTCTTAACTATGGAAGTATGGACCAGTCACTTAACCTTTCTGTACCTTAGGCTCTTGATATATAAAATGAAAAAAAAAAATAACATTACCTACCTCAAAGGATTATTGTGAGAATTATGAAGTAATATATATAAAGCATATAACTTGGTTTCTGGCAAGTAGTAAGTGCAAAATAAATGTTTATTAATTTCATCACACTTCCATTGTTGTTAAATAGCAAGCATCTCTTATTTTCTATGTCTTCTTTCTGCAAATAGTTGATTATCCTCACCTAAACATTCCCATTTACAATTCTAAACCAATCACTAAATAGCAAAGAAAGATTGATGAGCTAGGAGAAAAAAGGTTGGGAGAGGTATATGCATGGCCTTAGACTCTACTACTACTGTTGGTATTTCTCTGTAGGGCACAGAAAAATTATTTTCAATTTGCTGTTATACTTAACACACTCATCAGATCTTTTCACGTTTAACCTAGCATCATTATAGATGCTTCCTCTACCAGGCAATAAAATTCATGTTTAATAATAATTTGCAGCTTTCCTGCCAACATTAAAATGCAGAAGGTATTGCCCTGGACGGTTTTGCTCAGCAGTTAGAGTGTCGGCCTGCGGTCCCGAGAGACCCGGGTTCAGTTCCTGCTGGGGGTATGTACCTTGGTCGCAGTTTGTCCCCAGCCCTGGTTGGGTTGTGTGGGTGGCAACTACTCGATGCGTCCCTTTCACGTCGATGTTTCTCTCTCTCTCTTTCTCCCTCTCACTCTATCTGAACAAAATATCAAAAAATGTCCTCGGGTGAGGATAAAAAAAAAAATGCAGAAAGTATTTTATTGTATTTTCTGCTTTCAGCCATTTGGGGCCAAAATATAAATTTATTGTTTTCTTTCCTTCTAAGCCCTAGAGGAAAGTGCGTACAACAAAAAAGTACAGTGATTTATCACACCCTCTTGTGTAATTATCATGTAGATAAAAAAATACAACATTGCCTAATTCCTAAAAGACCTCCTTCTCCCCCCTCCCTATCAATAACTCTTCCACTTACCCCCCAAATTAACCACTGTTCTGTTGTTAATGTTAATTACTTCCTGGTTTTTCTTTCTTTTTCTTTTTTTGTTAATCCTCACTTCAGGATATTTTTCCATTGATTTTTAGAGAGAGTGGAAGGGAGGGAGGGAGGGAGAAAGAGTGAGACAGAAACATCAAACCTGAAACCTGGCTCTGACTGATTTGGCTCAGCAGTTGAAGCATTGGCCTGTGGACCACAGAGTCCTGGGTTCGGTTTCCGCTAGGGGTATGTACCAAAAAAAACACAATACCCTGAAACCTGGGCATGTGCCCTGACTGGGACTCGAACCCACAATCCTTTAGTACAAGGACAATGCTCCAACCAACAGAGACATTCTGGCCCTGGCTGTTTTTGAATTTTAATGTGAATGAAATCATACATATAATTCTTTGCTCAACATGTGAGATTCATTCTCATTCTTGCTTGTAACAGCAATTCATTCAGTGTTATTAATTGTGTGGTATTTCATTGTATGAATACACCACAGTTTGTGTGTTTTATGATATATGGACTTTTTTTTTCCATTTTGGAACTATTATAAATATTGTTATGAACATTGTTATGCACATAAGCATACATTTTTGTAAAATACATCCAAGGATAGAATTGCTAGGTAATGGAGAAGGCAGTCTTGAGCTTTAATAGATAATTCCACGTGGTTCTACCCATGGGCATTGCTGCCAGTGGCCTGTGAAAGTTTCCATTGCTGTATGTTCTTAACCAAAAAAATGGCCATTTTCCCCAAGTTCGATAAGTCTGGTAGGTGTGGAATTATATCTCATTGTGACTTTAGCATTTTTTTCTGCTAAGAACAATTTGGTGAGAAAATATTTCTGCAAATATTGACTAAGATGAAGCCTTTGGTTTCTAATTTTTTATGGTGTCATTGTCTTTCAGTTCCATAGTCAAGAGTATGTAAAAAATTTATTTTTTAGAAAGAGTATGTAAAAAATTTATTTATTTTGTTTTTCAATTATAGTTTACATTCAATATTATTTTGTATTTGTTTCAAAAAATATTTTAAATTTTAATTGGGTGCATGAAAGCAGTTAGTTTGAGATATTGCCCAATATTCTTTCTTTATACTTTTTATTGGCTTATCTGAAAAACAGATGTATTATTTCTCTTCATAATTATTAAGCTGCCATTCCAGGAATCATAACAATTACTGAAATGAGAGGTATATGGTCTGTGGTTTACAAAGTTGGATTTAATGAATAAATCTTTCCAGTTCCTCTGAGCTATTTTCTTTTGTGTGTGTGTGTGTATTTTTTTTTTTTTAAATAAAGTACAATCATGATAACTGATCTGGATGACATTGAGTGGCTGGTTTCTGTTGAGTGAAGTAAAACAGACTTTTAGCAGCTCATGGGTAATGTCTGAAAGGTAGAGTGACATTAGATAAATGTCTGTGTTCCATTCTGAAAATAGCTAAAGGCATATGGAACCAAGATTCAACTTAATTGACTAGTAATTTAATCCTGCTTTAAAAGTGCTTTGGCAAAAAGAAAATTGTACTGTGATTTCTTTTTGAACAATTAATACTAACAATGGAAAACAATTAAAGAGATAAAGTTTTGAAAGTTGTAAATACCAATTCAGTTTTATAAATAATTAATCTCTCAGTTTGTGTATGCATTTAAAAATTATATATGCACTAAAAAGAATAATTGAAAAATTTCTGGAAAATCGAATTTCTAAAAATGGCAAGTTTAAAGAAAATATTTTAAAAGAACATGTATTTTTGAAAATAGAATCATTTAACCTCAGATTTTGTTCCATTAAATAGTCATTTAGTAGTAGAAGGATTTTTAAACTGATAAATTAGATGTTTTAAAAGGATTGATTTAAACTTCATTTGAAAACAATTATAATTTTAACTTAGAAGATACATGGTTAAAATGTTAACAAGGGTCTCACTGAATATAAAATAGTAAAAAAAAGAAAAAAGAAATGCTAGGTGTATGATTATTTTTGATACTTAATAGGAATCAATCTTTTACCAATTAAGGTTTGTTTGCTTTTCTGATTGGCTTAGAGCTTGGCATATAAATTGATTGCAACACTTTTTGAGTTTAAACTCAATTAATGGTTTGGATTTTTAAAAACTTTACACTTCCTGTATAGAATCACAAAATGTTTGTGTTTTCTGGTACTTGGGAGTTTTAAATAGGACTTGGGAAATTTCTGGTAAAGGTAATGAATTTTATTTTAGAAAAAAAGATGGAATAAAAATTTGGATGAATGAAAGGCAAAGAGAGTTCTTGTTTCTTTTTGAAGGAGACAGAATATCTGACAAAATTGGCAGAATCAAAGTAAGAAAAATCTCAATCTATTTTGTTGTTTTCTTTTTCATTGTGATAAATGTTGAGGCCTATCATTTATTTGCCATAGTGTTGTCACATCTGTAAGCAAGAACAGTCAGTATTCTTTGAAAATTTCATGTGAACGGATCCCAGGTGATCTGGCATCCACATTCAGAATGTTGTGTGTTGCTCATAGGTAGCCTGTCAAGACAGATAAACTATTTACAAATATATTTAAACTTTTCCAGCCCTTTAAAATCATAGGAGCAGTTATATTTGACCCTCAGGTAAGCACAGTAAGTGTGAGGGATTTAGATCTCATCATTTTTGGCCTTTCATTGTTTTCAAGTGGCCTTAAAGGCTGGGAGAACTCAGAGATATCTTCTTGAATTGTTATAATTGATCAGCTTATCACAACTGATTAGCCAGACAGCATTTTTTTTTTTTTTTATCCTTATCTGAGGATATTTTTTGCATTTATCTTCAGTTAGAGTGGGAGGGAGAGAGGGAGGAAGAGAAAGAGAGAAACATCGATGTGAGAGAGACACATGGACTGGCTGCCACCCAGACAACCTCAACTGGAGCTGGGGACAAACTGCAACTGAGGTACTGCCCTTAGCAGGAATCGAACCCAGGTCTCTGTGATCTGAGGGCTGACACTAACCACTGAGCAAAACTGGCCAGGGAACATTTTATGTTAATAATTCATTTAATTTGAATGAATTTACTAGTTCTTTCAATGTGAGCAAGGTCACTTGCAATTAAATTACTCCGTTTTAAACTGTCTTTGGTATATGCTGATTTTACCTTGTATGGTAAATGATCTAATTCTAGTTATTATATACCAATTTAAGTTATTAAATACCAATTTAAGTTATTATATACTCAAAAGCTTTTTTAATTGAAACTTAAGTTTAATCTCATTTTAAAACAAAAATGTCTGTAGCACTTTGTTCTCTGCTTGACAGTGTTCCAGAATCAGTCAGACAGTGAATACACTTTGAGATATCTCAGATTATGTCCCACTGATTTGTATTGTTGTCCTTTTTGACCCCAGTAGTCTATCTAAAGAAAGACTGGAGTGAAAAAAGAAAAAGAAAACCAATTATAGGGCAGGGCATAAAATATGGTAGTGAAAAGGAATATCAGTTTCTAAATCTTTTATCTTTTACTTTTAAGATAAAGATACGGATATAACTATGAGGGGGAATGTGGATGACTTTGGCCTGCGAGACACCTTGAGCATCGCATCAACCGATTCCTTTGCTTCTGCAGCAGAGGTAGGACATGTATCTTCCTAATGAGGATGTCCCATTCTTTTTCAGCTTGAGAGTACAGTTTTGCCATTAGTTCACTAGCCATTTATTTAGCATGTGGTAGATACCAGTACACAAAGATGAATATAACACGAATGTAAGTTCCCACAGGAGCGCACAGTCTCTGTAGGGAGGCGGACATGTAAACACATACTTTAAATGGGCACTGTTATATACTGTGGAGTATGGGTGAGGCATATAAGTATCTTAATGGAAAACAGTTGACCTTATATCAAGAGTCTTAAAATTGTTCAGATTTTTTTTTTTATCTTCACCTGAGGACATTTTTGCATTCATCCTCAGATAGAGTGGGAGGGAGAGGGGGGAAGAAAGAGAGAGAAACATTGACATGAGAGAGACACACCTACATGACCCCAACCGGGGCTGGGGACTAACTGCAACTGAGGCACGTGCCCCCAGCAGGAACCAAACCCAGGTCTCTGATCCGTGGGCCGGCACTCTAACCACTGAGCCAAACTGGCCAGGGCAATTGTTTAGATTTTTCAGCTTAGAAATTATACTTTTAGATATTTTTTCCCCCAGGGAAGTGATCAGACTCAAAGATTTATATGTAAAAATATTCACTTTATTATTTTAATAATAATGAAAAGTAGAACAAGTCTAATGCCAAATCATGGTACATCCATAATCTGAAATATTATAATGCCATAAATATGTTTCTAATCATTTTTAATGACATGGAAACTCGTGTTAAGTGAAAAGAATAGTATGTAGCCCTAGCTGGTTTGGTTCAGTGGTTGGAGCATCAGCCTGTGGACCAGAGAGTCCCGGGTTTGGTTCCCGCTAGTGGCACGTACCAAAAAAAAGAATAATATATAAAGCTTATATAGAGAATATGATCGTGATTTTGTAATAGGAAAAGAAAGAAAAACACTATCCTCATTTTTTTTTATTCTGTTTTCTTTTTGCTGTGCTGATTGGGTGTTTTTTACTTCCTTGTATTCCAAATCAATGGTTTGCTTCTTGGCTTTACCTACTCTACTACTGAATCTGTGTAAATTATTCTTTATTTCAGTTAGTGCCTCCTTCATTTCTGACTGTGCCTCCTTCATTTCCAACTGGTCTTTTTTAATACTCTTGAGGCCCTCACTGAGTTTACTGAGCATCCTTATAAGCAGTATTATGAACTCAGCATCTGTTAGGTTGCTTATCTGCATTTCGCTTAGTTCTTATCCTGGAGATTTTTTCTGTTCTTTCATTTGTGACCTGTTTCTTTGTCTCCTCATTTTGGCTGCCTCTCTGTTTATTTCTGTGTATTACTTAACGAGAGGTATAGGCTATCTGAGACCAGATGCTGCTTGTTTGAAGCAGGATCCAAGACAGGCCAATCCTATGGTTAGGCAACTGGCAACAGCTTGGGTGGGCCTGAAAGTTGGGTGGGGCAGGGCCTCAGGGGATCACCAGGGCGGGGCAACCAGTGTGAGCCAGGTTGCTGGAGTCCCAGATTTGGCCACTGTCTGCCACCCCAGGGAAGGGCTCATCAAAGGAACAAAGGCCTCCCATAGCAAGTCTGTCCTGGAGAAGGCCGCCTCTCCAGCCCTTGCTCCAATGCCAAACAGCTCAGTTCTTCCCTGTATGTCTCCGTCGCCCCTGGAGCTGCCTCCCCTCCAAGCTTAGAGGGAGCAAGTCTGAGTAAGTCTGTATGCGGGCCCTTTTAAGAGGAGCTGCCTGGGGCTCCAGCTGCCTCAGCCTCCCTGAGCCTCAGTTCCTGCTGGTTTTTCCAGCCAAAAGTTATGGAGACTTCTCTCCCTGGCACTAGCACCCTGAGCAGGATGCCTGGTGTGCGATGGGGTCCCCTCAGTCCTCAGGGAGGACCTTCCCAGCTGAGGTGTCCTCCTGATTTTTATCCGCCACACGTGGATGTGGGACCAGCCCATCCGCCTCCGCCCCTCCTACCAGTCTCGATGCGGCTGTTTCTTTAATTTCATAGTTGTAGGACTTCCATTCAGCTGGATTTCAGGTGGTTTTGAATGATGGTTGTTCTGTAGTATAGTTGTAAATTTGATGTGGTTGTGGGAGGACACGATAGTACATTTACCTACGCCGCCATCTTGACCGGAAGTCGATTCTGCCTTTGTTAAAGCTCTACTGACCGTAATATTTCATTCTCTCAAGATTTTTCTGTATGTGTATTATTTAGCTGTTGCTTATAGTATCGTCTTCTGAATTGTTTACATTTTTAAAAATATTTTTATACTTGTAAGTTTGCAATAGACAGAATATATCTATTTGTTTTATGGAAAAGCCATTTCCTCTTCCTTTTACTATTTGGTATAGATTTCTTATCTTTCTGTTCTTTTTTTTTTTTTTGGTGTTTTTTCCAACTTTATTGAGATATGATTAACATATAACATTGTGTAAGTTTCAGATGCACAGTGTAATGATTTGATACACATATATCGCAAAATAATTATCACAGTAAGATTGGATAACACTTCCATCACTGCATATAATTTCCTTTTTTTTTGGTGGTGAGAACATTTAAGATCTACTCTCAGCAACTTTTAAGTATATAATATGGTGTTATTGGCTATAGTTGGCACAGAGTACATTAGATCCCCAGAACTTACTTATCTTCTCACTGGAGGTTTACACCCTTTGATCAACGTCTCCCCACTTTCCTTACACCTCAGCCCCTTACAACCACCATTCCACTCTCTGTTTCTATGGGTCTGGCCTTTTTATATTTCACATGTAAGGGATGCTGCACAGTATTTGTTTTTCCCTTTCTGATTTACTTCACTTAGCGTGATGCCTTCAGGTTCCATCCATATTGTCGAAAATGGCAGGATTTTCTTCTTTGTCATGGATGAATAATGTTTCATTGTACATATACTATAAGTGTGTATATGTGTACACACACACACACACACACACACACACACACACCCCTCATGTCTTCTTTATTGATTCATTCATAGATGGACACTTAAATTGTTTCCATATGTTGGTTATTGTGAAAAATGTTGCAATGAACATGCAGATACCTCAAAATAGTGATTTTATTTCCTTTGGATATATACTCAGAAGTGGGATTGCTGAATCGTATGATAATTCTATTTTTACTTTTTTGAGGACCCTCCATATTGCTTTCATAGTAGCTATACTAATTTATATTCTCACTGATAGTGCCCAGGAGTTCCCTTCATATCTTCACCAACACTTGTTATCTCTTGTCTTTTTAATCATGGCTGTTCTAACAGGCATGAGGTGATATCTCATTGTGGTTTTGATTTACATTCCCTAATGATTAGTGATGCTGAGCAACTTTTCATGTACCTGTTTGGCCATTTGTGCCTTCTCTGGAAAAATGTCTATTCAGCTCCTCTGTCCATTATTTTTTAAATCCTCACTTGAGGATATATTTTTATGGATTTAAGAGAAAGAGGAAAGGGGCAAGAAAGAGAAACATCAAAGTGAGAAAGAAACATCAGTTGTTGCCTCCTGTATTTGCCCCAATTGGAGTTGGAACCGGTGACCTAGGTATGTGTTCTGACCAGGAATCAAACCTGCAACCCTTTGGTGTTTGGGATGACACGCCAACCAACTGAGCCATCCTGCCAGGACCCTCTGTTTATTTTTTAAACTGGATTGTTTGGGTTTGTCTTTGCTATTCAGTTGTATGAGATCCTTATATATTAACCATATATATATATACATATATATATGATACTAACCATATATATATATACACACACACACACATATATATGATACATGGTTTGCAAATATTTTCCTTCACTCCATAAGTTACCTTCTCATTTTGTTGTTTCTTTTGCTGTGCAGAAGCTTTGTAGTTCGATGTAGTCTCACTTGTTTATTTTTGCTTTTGTTGCTTGTGCTTTTTGGGTCATATCCAAAAAATCATTGTCAAGGAGCTTTTTTTTTGCGAATGTCAAGGAGCTTTTACCCTATGCTTTCTTTTAGGAGTTTTATGTTCTTTATTTAGTCTTTAATCCATTTTGAGTTAATATTTATTGAGTGATGTAAGATAGGGATTAAATTTAATAATTTTGCATGTGGTTCTCCAATTTTGCCCCCATATTGAAGAGGCCATTCTTTCCCTATTGAGTATTCTTGGCTTCCTTATCAAACATATATTTTTTCCAGTTTCATTCAGATAGAGTGGGAGGGAGAGAGAGAGAAACATCGATGTGAAAGGGACACAGCAAATGGCTGCCACCCGCACGACCAACCAGGGCCGGGGACAAACTGCAACTGAGGTACGTGCCCTTAGCGGGAACCAAACCCGGGACTCTCTGGACCGCAGGCCGACGCTCTAACTGCTGAGCCAAACCGGCCAGGGCCCTTATCAAATATTGATGGACTTTATTGCAAGGGTTATTTCTGGGCTCTTGATTCGTTCCACGTGTCTGTTTATATTTTTATGCCAGTAAACTACTGTGTGATTACTATAGCTTTGTAACACAGTTTGAAATCAGGAAGTGTGATGCCTCGAGTTTTGTTCTGTCTCAAGATGGCTTGGCCTCTTCAGTGTCTTTTGGACTATATATAAATTTTAAGATTGTTGTTTTTGTCAAAAATACCATTGGAGTTTTGATATGGATTACAGTGAATTTATAGGTGGCTTTAGGTAATATGGACATTTTGACAATATTAATTCTTCAGATCCATGAACACATGATATCCTCCATTTATTTATGTCTCTTCCATTTTTTCATCTTACAGTTTTCTTTCTTTTTTTTTTTTTTTATCCTCACCCGAGGACACTTCTCCATTTTTTTGTTCAGATAGAATAGGAGGGAGAGAGAGAGAGAAACATTAGCATGAAAGGGACACATTGAGTGGCTGCCACCCACACAACCCAACCAGGGCCGGGGACAAACTGCAGCCGAGGTACGTTCCCTTAGCGGAAACCGAACCCGGGTCTCTCTGGACCGCAGGCCGACACTCTAACCACTGAGCCAAACCGGCCAGGGCTC